GTTTAATACTTTTTAATAGCCTTAATTTTCGCAAAATGTATTTATCAACTTGTAATACTTTGTAAGACCCCGCGGACCCCCTGATGTTGCTCTATTGGAGGAGCCTAGGACTTCAGATTTTCATTGACATATCTACACTGAAGCTGCTGAACATACTCAAACAGCTCACACAATTATACACAACACGTAAACGGTGATATTAGGTAAACCGTTCAATCTGTCAGAAAACCCTTTGAGCTCGATAAAGATGAGAGTTTGCAGAGCGTATAGACGTTGAATCTAAACTCTGAGGGTGTTTCTCAATGTCAAGGAAGGATGCTCCAGAGCCACTATTTCAAGGATGCTACGTCATCGAATCCCGTCGAAGGACTGTTCCAATGTCCAGACTCCTTGGAATTCTACCGAGGACTGAGTCCTTCGTTGCGGGAAATTTCGAGGATGCACCAGTGTATCCTCCGCAGTCTTAAAATCCCCACAATGCTTTGCGCACGGACCAATTTCCAAAATCTTTGGCGCAAAATGTAAGGCGGGGGCCTCTCATATGACGCACACCTGCACACTTGCTAGCCTGTTCCACTCTTCGTTCTCCGAATGCCAGGAAGGATTCTTGCCTAGCCTCTGAAGGACCTGACTCGGAAGACATGTCCTACCAAGGAAGCGTCCTCGACATTGAGAAACACCCTTACACTCATTGGTTTGCGGACTATAGTCCTGAAGCCTGGAGTTGGTGTTTCAGCCGTTTCCATTTTTGTTATTTAGCAGCCTGAGGGGACACAAGCGGGTTCAACTGAACATCATATTTAATATTAGAGGATTTGATTATGTTATTTAATAATTGTACTAATTGTACCCACCTCTGCTTTTCTATACTCTGATGCAAATGTGTCCCCCCTTTGTGGGACCCCTAAAGGTGATTTTAGATTCTGCAAAACGTTGATGGTCTGCAGAGTTTTTTAAGGAACCTACCGCGCTGAACGCCTCCATCGTGACCCGCTGAATCTCTACGGAGGGGGGAGGCCTGCGAGAGGAAGGGGGGGGGCGAGACAGGAAGTAGGAGGCGAGCAGGGCAGCGAGGGCGGGGCTAAAACAGGAAGTGTGGGTGTCATCAGGTGCAGGAAGTGGGGCGTGAAGTGTGTGTGGGGACCAATGGTGGTTTAAATACAGCAAGGCCATAGTCATTCCACGAGAAAACACACACACCAGGGAGATTTTTTAAACAAGGTTGATACACATGCAGGAAGATCACGGGATTTTCAAAATACAATCACAACATGCAGCAGATCACACAGAGGAGGGATGATTGAGAAGGTATATAAAAGGAGAGTGTGGAAAAGAGGGGAGATGAGAACACAAAACAGCACAAAAACAAAATAAAGATTAGTGGCAGATCACATTACACATCACCTCCACATGCTGTTAGCATCAGGGTAGCATCGTTAGCAGTTAGCAACATTTCTGTCAGTTAGTCAAACAAAAAGGCTGCTAGCTAGCTCTAAAAAATAAAATTATGAAAAGCATGGGACTGAAGCTCTACACACGCAGCGGAGGAAACACTGAACATGAAGCTGCGTTGACTGCTAGCTTTATATAGCGTTAGCATAGCCTCCATGCTAGCACTAGCTCTGCGTTAGCAATTCTACGGTACGCTAATTCAGTATTTGGAATTTTTAGCTTTTTCTCAACAACATTTCCTAAGTATTATTTAACATTTTACTTCACTACATTATGATTCAATATAGTTCAAGATAAAAGACTACAAATATGGTTTATTCTGAGTGTTTTTGTGCATTATAGCTGCTGAAAACTTGGCTTAACTTTACCTTAAAACGAAGAAATGTGTGACTGAATAAACAACATGTAACATGGTTTATAGGGACGTATTGTGTTGTTTTAATTATCATTTTTTGTTGTTTTTCTTTGGTTTCTGATCTTCTTACTATGCCATCATGTATAATTCTTTAACGGTAATATATGAGATTCTGCAGCCTATTAAGATTAAAACCATAATGTAAAAGGCACTGCATGACTGCATATTTTCTACTTTTGTAATGCTATTTTATTTCTATTTGAGATGTTTACATTGTGGATTGTTGTACAATGTACAATGCCTTGTCTTTGTATGCTGCTGCGACGCAAACATTTCCCAAATTGGAATCTTATCGTAGGACAATCCCCCAAAAAACTATATATATACTTTTCTTATAACAAACACAATCCAACATTTAAGGAGCTCCTCGTCAGCATTAACCCTGTTTCCACAGATGGTTTAGCCCAGGTGTCTGACCCCCCCCCCCCCCCCCCGTCTCAGCCCAGATGGTTTAGCCCAGGTGTCTGACCCCCCCCCCCCCCCCCCCCGTCTCAGCCCAGATGGTTTAGCCCAGGTGTCTGGCCTCCCTCTCTCATCCCAGATGGTTTAGCTCAGGTGTCTGACCCCCCCCGTCTCAGCCCAGAAGGTTTAGCCCAGGTGTCTGACCTCCCTCTCTCATCCCAGATGGTTTAGCTCAGGTGTCTGACCCCCCCTGTCTCATCCCAGATGGTTTAGCCCAGGTGTCTGAACCCCCCTCTCTCATCCCAGATGGTTTAGCCCAGGTGTCTGACCTCCCTCTCTCATCCCAGATGGTTTAGCTCAGGTGTCTGACCCCCCCCCGTCTCAGCCCAGAAGGTTTAGCCCAGGTGTCTGAACCTCTCTGTCTCATCCCAGATGGTTTAGCCCAGGTGTCTGACCCCCCCTGTCTCTTCCCAGATGGTTTAGCCCAGGTGTCTGAACCCCCCTGTCTCATCCCAGATGGTTTAGCCCAGGTGTCTGAACCCCCCTGTCTCATCCCAGATGGTTTAGCCCAGGTGTCTGACCCCCCCTGTCTCTTCCCAGATGGTTTAGCCTAGGTGTCTGACCCCCCTTGTCTCATCCCAGATGGTTTAGTCCAGGTGTCTGACCTCCCTCTCTCATCCCAGATGGTTTAGCCCAGGTGTCTGACCTCCCTCTCTCATCCCAGATGGTTTAGCCCAGCTGTCTGACCCCCCCGCCCAGAAGGTTTAGCCCAGGTGTCTGACCCCCCGTCTCTCAGCCCAGATGGTTTAGCCCAGGTGTCTGACCCCCCGTCTCTCAGCCCAGATGGTTTAGCCCAGGTGTCTGACCCCCCCTCTCAGCCCAGATGGACTCACCTGAGCGGGGCTTCAGTCCGAACACAGGGCTGGAGAAAGATGGAGGTCCGCAGCCCGGATATCTGTCGTGATGCTGCAGAAACAGAGAAGGAAACAACACGGTCAGTCTCTCAGTAACTAACAATCATTTTACGATTTATTGTATGATTTGTTTAACAGATATCCTGTGCTTCACAGAGAGATGTTTGCAGACACACAGACTAACAAACGTACAGTTAACAGCGCTGGAAAGTACATTTACTGAAGTACTGTAGAGTTTTGAGGTTATTGTACTTCCAATGTTATGCTACTTTATACGTCTGGACCTCAACAATTAAGAGGAAATGATGGTCCCTTTTACAGAAACAAAGCTAACTCAGTAAATGTACCAGCTTCAGTGAGGTTTGCAGAGGTCCTCAGGTATGGAACAATTACAAAACTACACAGGAATCTTTAAACACAAATAAAAACGTGTTTCTAAAGAGCTTTTGACGCACGAGTAGCCATGAATACACACTTCCTCAGCCTCTCCACATGTGCATCTTGCAGCTGGATGACGTGTTGCCGTTAATAACGATGCGGACAGCTTACTGACACACACACACACACGCTAAGTTTACTGCAGTTAAATCCTAACTCCAGCTGTGTTTACCTTGACGGACATGTGCAACTCAAACTCCCGACATGCGAGCTGAGTGTGACCTCTGGCCTTCTGCAAAATCATCTTCCTCTTTCTCTGGAACTCACACACACCCTCGTCCGAACGCTGACACACACGCAGTCACCTTAAAGAGCTGCTCTCTAATAGTTACTTATAGTCTTTAAATCAACTTATAGAGCTGCTTTATTTCAAATATATAGGCTTTAAATAACCTTCAAATGTAGTTTACCTCCACCTGTTTAGGCTTCAATTACCATATACTGTGTTACTTACGTGCTTATAGGTTAATTCATTAGTTAATTACAAACGTATAGGGTTTAAATGAACTTATATAGCTGCTATATTTCAAATGTATGGGCTTGAAATTACCTACACATGTTAAGGCTTTCAATTACCATATACATTTGCTTTGTAATTTACTTTCTAATGGGTTAATTAATGAGTTCATTATAGGCTTACATTTTCTTAAATAGCTGCTTTGTTACTTAGAATCTTATAGGGTTTAAATAACCTTATATAGATGATTTACGTAGTTACTTATAGTCTTTAAATCAACTTATAAGCTGCTATATTTCAAATGTATAGGCTTTAAATAACTTATATATGCTTCAAATTACCTTAAAATGTAGTTTACCTCCACCTGTTAAGGCTTTCAAGTACCATATACTTTGTTACTTACATACTTATAGGTTAATTAATTAGTTAATAACAAACGTATAGGCTTTGAGTTTTCTTAAATAGCTGCTTTGTCTCTTCCTTTAGGGTTTGAATGTCCTTAAATTGTAAAGTTATATATAACAAAAGGGCCTTAAATTACTTAAAGAGTTGATTTCTTACTTACAATCTTATTGGCCTTAAATTAGCTTAAAGGACCCATGTCATGGCCATTGTCATGTTGAGGTCTACTAGAATAGATTTAGACCCTCCAGAAAAACGCGATTCTGCGATGGCAGAATTTACCGCATAATCAGCAAAATGGCGCAGATTTTTAAAAGGCCGCATATTTATCAAAAGGCGCATAATCCCCGCATTTTTCCACACAAAGTTGAGAAGAAAAAAAAGTTAACTCGTCTTGACGTGAAGTGATGATGATGATGACGCAACGTCATCAGCTCGCGCATCACAGAAGGTAAACAACACCGTAGAGTGAACGTGTGGAGCTCACATGAGAGAGAAAACACCAAGATGAAAAAATGTAATCCATCTCATTTACCGACGAACATTTCTGCTAAAGGCAAAGCAGTTCCCCGATGTCTTGCACGAAAGTGGGGGGAAACTATTCTGCACCCCGTGCAACTGTGTTGGAGCATAAGAGAACATCGACGGTGACGACCACTTTGATTCATTCAAACATTCGAAAATGCTTTCTGCTGCTGCGGACAAGAAAGCCAAACAACTCACGTTCACCGAGGCATCGACCTCCACAACCCTTTGAGGGCTACAAGAAACGAGGTGAGAAGCCTACAAGATTGAAGCTGGTCAGATAACGAACAAGTAAATGAAAACAGAATGAGGCGGAGAAGTGTGTGTGTGAGAGAGAGAGAGTGTGATTAAAATAGCCCAATTGCTTTTACAATAAATAAACATTGAATGTGTTTAATTGTATAGTAAAGGGGTTTAACGTTAGTGGCAGGTTGTGTGTGAGAGAGAATAAATAAATAAGACATCCCAATATTTATTTTTTGCGCATATTTCGCTACTTTCCGCATATTTCACAACTTCCCGCAATTTCACCGCATAAAATCACATAAACCCCCGCATGTTTGATCGCATAATCAAGGATTTTTGCCCGCGTTTTTCTGGAGGGTCTAAGATTTATATTGTGCAATGTTCCAAACTCACATTGGTTCCTCAAACAGCATCTCTGTAAACTACGTGTATTCACTGAATTTCACTCTCTGCCTTTAACGGCTCGTTGTAGCTCCAATAGCTCCAGCCCCCACCCTCCCTGTGAGCACAGTGGGCTCTGATTGGTCGGGACGTTGTGAATCGCGCTGAGCTCCTTGGAGGTGTCGTTTCCTTGTTTAGCGATACACAGCTAAATTCACCCTGAGCACACACTAAGTCACAGCCGAAGTAAACACAATAAGTGTGGCTTGATATTGAGTAAGAAAAAGGTTGATAAACGCTGTGAGAATGGGTCTGCAGAGAGAATGGGTCTGCAGAGAGAATGGGTCTGCAGAGAGAATGGGTCTGCAGAGAGAATGGGTCTGCAGAGAGAATGGGTCTGCAGAGAGAATGGGTCTGCAGAGAGAATGGGTCTGCAGAGAGAATGGGTCTGCAGAGAGAATGGGTCTGCAGAGAGAATGGGTCTGCAGAGAGAATGGGTCTGCAGAGAGAATGGGTCTGCAGGGAGAATGGGTCTGCAGAGAGAATGGGTCTGCAGAGAGAATGGGTCTGCAGAGAGAATGGGTCTGCAGAGAGAATGGGTCTGCAGAGAGAACGGGTCTGCAGAGAGAATGTCGCCGCGATCCCAACTGTCTGTTATCAGCCTGCAGCCCGGGAGGAGAGATCAGCAGAGCTGCTTGCACTGAGTGTGTGAGGAAGTCTGTGGATTGGTCAATTTGGACCAATCAGCGGGGGCTTAACGTAACGGCTCCGCGGACGTAACGGCTCCGCGGACGTAACATAACGGCTCCACGGATTGGTCCATTTGGTTCTGGGTAACGCATGACCGTATCGCGTCATAGCTCTGGGCGCGGCTACTGGCCATTCCCACGTCACAATACCCAGGAAGTAAACAATGGACAGTGACGTATCTCCAACGAGGCGTTTTGGGGAGGTAGTTGTGTTAGAGTTTTACTCGCTACAGGGTGTACTTTGAGGGGTTTGACTCTGCACACCGTTTACATGCATAAAAACCATCATAACACACAAGGGGACGGGTAAGAACCAGAAAAGCATGACATGGAACCTTTAAATATTTGCTCTGTTTCTCACAAATAGACTTTAAAATCACCTTATTTGGAAGTCAACTTACACATTTGTAGGCTTTTAAAAAGGACCTTAAATAGTTCCTTAACGTACAGGATTTAAACAGTAAAAACCTTATAGTAGTAATAGTACACATAGTAGCCATATACTTACTAACTTATAGGCTCTGAATCACTATTTATCGTAGTGTTACTTATGAACGTACAGACTTTAAATATAAGCCTCAAATAACTTTATATAAATGCTATATAACTAACTAACCTATAGGGTTTTAGTGAACTTAAATAGTACCGATTTAATTAACATTATATAGTTCTTTTTTTTACTTACATATTAATCTCATAAAGTTGCTGTTTTTAAATGACGGTTTATGGGTTTATATGACATACATTAAAGCTTCAATTGACCTTGAACAGCTGCTTTGTTTAAGGTCAATTATAAGGCTTTAATTTTCCTTAAATAGTTGTATAACTTACTAACGTTTAGGCTTTTAATATCCTCATATAGTCGCTTTGAATCTTCAACAATTAGGCTTTAAATGACCTTAATATGCTGCTACATTACTTACAAACGTATAGCTTTAAATGACCTTACACAGGAGCTTTGTTTCTTAAAGAGATATGTTTTAACTTCAGGAGGATCAGAGCCAGTATGAGTGGAGAGTGTATCTAAGTGGTGTGAGATCTCGCTGATGCTGTTTCTAATATTGAAGATGTGAACTCTTTACCTTCGGTGTGCCACCGCCGTCATCGCTGTCCTGCCCACTGCGGAGAGAAATACAACATTTAAAACACAGAATGGGCTTCCGGTCTAGCAGGCATGGGGATCGCAGCATAGCGTGACAGGCTCCCGATAGTGAGAATTCAAAGTTGCCCGTTTTAACTCGAATAACCAGGAAAACGAAGAAGGTCAACTGTCTCGAGCTAGCAGCATTAGCAACATGGACGACACGCAGCCGGACTCTGAATCAGAGCCCAACGGTGAATCCAACTTGGCTTTAATCTTGAAGGAGCTACGAGAACTTAGAAAAGACTTCGGTCAACAGCTGAGCGGCATAAAAGAGGACATTAGTAAAATCGGCAAAAGAGTGGAAGAAGCAGAGGAGCGAATTAACGGTGCTGAGACCAGAATCCAGTCATCAGAGGACATTCTGACGGAGCTGGTAAAGCTTCAGATGCAAACGGAGGCAAAGCTGACTGATTTGGAGGGGCGATCGCGACGTGAAAATGTCAGAATACACGGGGTAAAAGAAGGAGCAGAAGAAGGCACGGCATCAGTAATCGCTTTCGTGGAAGATTTGCTGACAAAAAGTTTGGAGCTTCCCCCCTCCACCGCCCTAAATATCGAGATATTTAGCATAAATAGTATGCTTAAATTATACTTTTAGAAGAATGTACTAAGTACACTTTTAGATAAATGTGCTATTTTGGTCACATTCAAGTATACTAAAGTGTACTCAAGTAGTACTGGAGTACTACTTAATCATTAGTTGAGTATACTTGAAGTGTAAATAGTGTGCTAAATTGGCACAACTTTTTGTAAACTTTGAGTGTACTAAAGTACACCAGTTAAAATCATGATTTATGTGCATTCGAAACACACTTTAAGCACAATTGTATTATATCACCAGTGTGTTGGAAATATACTTAAAAGGGCATTTGTGTGCATTTGAAACATGCTTTAAGTATAATTGTATTGTATCACCAGTGTGTTGGAAATATACATAAAAGGGCATTCAGCTCAATTCATAGTAATTCATAAGTGTGTTTTCAACATACTATTATCATACTCATTCAAGCACACCTGTTATATTTCCAATTAACTTCAAATGCACTTTCTGACTGTATTTAATACTTTTAAATTGTGCTATTATGTTAATAAAAATGTATTTATAGTAAGGTTCTATCACAATTTAAGCACCATAAATCCATGTATTTTAAGTATAATGTTATTATACTATAATGTAGAAGTGTATGGTATCACTGCTTATACTAGAATAGAAGTGTATTTTACAATAATGTTACCACTGCAAGTACTGGGTTATGTGTTACAGAAGCATACTTACAATACATCACTATTATACTTCATACACTTTAAGCTACTTCCAGATACCACTTAAGTACACACCAAGTGTGCTATTCTGTTTCATGACAAATTGCACTTCAATTATGAGAAAAACATAATTTTAATGACATAAAAACAACAACAAACCAAAAAACGTGTTTATACTAAATTGAACAATTAACAAAACATGATAGCTAAGCTGACTAACTAACTTGCAAAGTCTATATAAACTAAAGGGTGACCATCAGTGAGGAGTAACGTTGCTTGTATATCTCTCGTTGTTGCATTTCCTCCGCAGCAGGGCCCGGATCGCACTCACCTCGGTGCCCGGACATTTTTCTTTCACGGTGTCTTACAAAACAAGAAGGAAGCATGGGATTTAATACTTGATAATATAGACAATATATTAGATTGAAATCCATTCATAATGATAACATTAATACAGAATATCTGTACCTATAATGGCATTGACTTTCTCCGGGTCAAGGGTCTCTGCGGTTTTCACCTTCCCAGTAAGGGTAGACTTCGCCAGGGTCTCTTTCCCAAAGATTAGCGTTGCTAGCTCCTGGGCAAAGAGAGACATCCTTCTGTTGCCTAATCTGTGGAAGAGGCGTGTGGAGACCTGGACGGAGGAGTTGCCTAGGAACATCTGTAAAAACAAAGAGGCGGATTAAAACAAGATAAATTACAAATATTGTACCTGTACCATCAAATGAACTTGAATGCTTTGCTATATTTTAAACACACTGGAGATATAATATACTAGTCATGCAAGTGTATTTCTAATGGCAACAAAACATATTTGTAATGGTAAATGGACTGTACTTGTTGAGCGCTTTATCTGGTCAGCAGACTTCTCAAAGCGCTTTTACACCACATATCACATTCACACACATTCATACACTGATGGCGGAAGATAAACCATCAGAGGTAACACATTCACTCACATCCACACACCAATGCACAGCATTCTGAGCAATTTGGGGTTAGGTGTCTTGCTCAGGGACACAACAGCGCATGGCTGCCGGTGGCGATCGAACCACCGACCTTCCGATTGGTAGCTGACCTGCTCTACCACAGCCTTCCCCCGTAATCAAGTCAAGGTGTACTCAAACAGTACTCGAGTACACTTCTGTATATTATGTGGGGCAGCTCTCGTCTTGGCTTCAAGGGTGTGAAAATACAATTCCATTGATCCGCAGTGATTAATTTTGTATAGAACAATAGCAATAGAGTATCATTACTATGTAGGTCATACCAAGTCATTACTGCCAGTATTGCGGCCAGTTTGCTGGGAGTCACCGTGGCCACTACTGGAACAAGATCCTGATGAGGACGACCCTGAAATGTTGTCCAGTGCTGTCTTCATGGTAGCCACCAATCTTGGCATCTCTAAAAAGTGGGTATAAAAAAGTATCCAGGTGTAAATAACAAATTCAGACATAAAATAGTGTCAACCGCAAAATACTAAATACTATGATTGACCATGGTGCATTCCAACTGTCCTGCTTTTCTGAAATTACGCTTTCTTTTGCATTTGTTTACTGTTGTATAAATGCAATAGGCTAGATAGTTTATTTTCAAATTTGTAACATGTGGGAAGTCGGGTCTCAAAATATATGTGGGAATTCATGAATGTTACTTCACAACTTCATTCAAATTATTGCAGGTAGAGCTTTAATCGGATATATTGTATGTGCAATTTCGATAAGTAATAAGGGTATCTTTATTTTGAATTCTGTGCTAAAGTGCGTTAGCATTTAAAACAAAAATGAATAAACCCGCACGTCTTTCAGTGCCTGCAGGAGCTCACAAGTCCTTATTTGCATATGTGAAAATCACAATTAAGATATTATCTAAGAGATAAATATCCCACACCCCTAATTTGAACATATGTTAACGTTATAATTTACCACCACCTTATACACATTTTTACTGAATAGAGCTTCATAATTGGACTCAAGCTAACGTTAGCTAGCAAGCTAGTTAGCTAGACAATAAAGCAACTCTTTCTACTAGCATTAAGTTATCAGTTACATTTCTAGAGAGACTATAGCCAAAGTTAGCCAACGTTATAAAGATTTTTTCAGAATCATTTAATTTGTATTTTTAACTTACCTCCTACGAACAGCAATTTGTCTGCAACTGGCTTCGACCCCTTTTGCGGTCGACGTTTGGCAGGCCAAATCACCTCTATCCAGCCGTGGTCCAAACCGAGGTCTTCCATGCAGGTAACTGTAACTTTTGCAGCCCTGTTTACATCCTTTATGATAGATGTATGTTCTACTCTAACTCTGGGAAATAGAACAGTCCAAATGTTGGTAGGTCCAGCAGAGACATGTTGAATTGTTGTAGTCTGGCTGCTCAATTTCAAACAATAACTGAAACGTGCGGAAACTTTAAAGGAATGGTATGCTCATGACACTCATTTTTAAATAATTATCATCCGATAAAACAGACCAGTCTCTGCCAGTCTCTCTTTTTTTTTTTTTTATCCGATGACGTTATCAGTGATTTTAAACTGATTAATTACCGAAATAACATCAACACTGTGGGCGGCGCCATTTTACCGGACGTGACGTGAACCATGCGTTTGGTTTCGAGGACACGTTGATGTTCATGTTATTTACTGTAGTTACTCTCTTCAAATATGCCTCATTGTATCGCGAAACATTGCCACAATTCTGATAGGAACAACCCACGGAATGCTCGGTTCCATCTGTTGCCAAAAGGTAAGCGTAGGAAGTACGTTCGGAGGCAGTGGCTAGCGAAATGTGGCCGGCCCGAACCGAAAGATCCACAGGCGCATGTATGCAGCGAACATTTCAAGTTTCTGGACGACTACTCTGAGAGTATGATAAAACATAACATGGGATTTATTGAACAACCATTACTTAATGGAGATGCAGTACCATCGGTCTTTCTGGTGTCATCACCGACCAGGACACCAGTTCGGCCAGTTGAGAAATCGCCCTCTGCAAGTGTGAAGCGACGGAGGACCAGAAGTAGTGCTCGGAGTAAGAATAAGGTATGTTATAGCGCATTTCCATTGCAGCGGGTAGCCCCGTTTAAACGTCCTTTAGCATCCAGGCCAGGCCAGTTTTTGGTGGCCTTTCCATATAACGTGGTACCGGCTAGTGGGTATTTTCCCCCAGTTTTTCCTGCCCCATAAAATCGTGGTTCTAGGGCCAGGGACAACGAGGCTGAGTATGCTAAACTAGAGAGGGAATCGCTAGCAAGGGTGGTACTACATGCATACATATCTAGTAATCAAAATCATTGTATCTACTAAGTAGTACTAAGTAGGCTCGAACCTGTATGGCTGAATTCCCCCATCCAATCTCTTCATATTGCTCAAAACTTCGCCATGTTTTTGTGTGTTTACAAAGTGAACACATGGATGACGTCACGACCATCACGTGACTACTGAAAATGGGCAAAATGGCAGCGGCCTGACGGAATATACAGGTTTTGATAAAAAAGAGCTATAAAATCATTATTTACCGGGGAATATCGCTGATTTCTTCAGGGTATGGTTTAAACATAATGTTTCACTAAATCCTGAAGTTTTGATTAATTATCTAATGAGTGGAGCATTCCTTTAACAAAATAAAGAGTAACTCTGTTACCTCTAATCATTAACCCATGTTTGTATAATGTAGTTAACTCCGTGTGTTGCTGCTAGCATACATAACACCTG